CCACGGACTTCCCTCTCTGCAGCCTGGCCAGCTGGTGGCCCTGGTGTTCGCCCCTGTGCCCCTTCTTTCTGCACCCCGGAGGCTACTTTCCCCAGCCTCCTTGCAGATTTTATGAAGGAGTCCAGCCAATGTGAGCAGGGGTGGTGTGTGAGATCCTCCTGTTCCCAGTCCTCGCTGTCTTTTCCCTCCAGCCTCTAAGCCCCTTAGACGTGAGCGTGCTTGCATGCACGCTAAGTCACTTTAGTTGAGCCTGACTCTTTGTGACCCCGTGGACTGTAGCCCGCTAGGCTCCTCTGTCCATGGGATTCTCCAGGCAAGAATACTGGAGTGGGTTGCCATGCCCTCCTCCAGGGGATCTAATCCTAACACCTCCATTCCTTACCTATGAAAACGTAGGAATCCTAGAAAGGTTAAGTGAGGTAATATATAGGATCAAAATACAAACTATGCCATCTGGACAGAGCTTTGTCACATGATTACACTGGGGTATAATTATTTATTCACACCCGGAACTTGCTTCACAGTTCCTGAGCCTCGGTTTCTTCTGTAAAATGGAGATAGAAACAACAACATGAGACAGACAGATATGAGACAGTGGGGCCTCCTCCTTTCCTGGACTCCCAGGTCCCCCTCCTCTCCCTTCCCCACTCTGCTCCCCTTACAGCCTGTCTCTGCCCCCCGAGATGTTCGCCCGCATGCTCAGATGTTCACAGCACATGATTGGAACAACCCGATTACCCGTGTTCCAGCTGCTCAATGCTCTGGCCACTAAGTCACAGCAGCTCCAGAGACACCATCTTTCTGGGAGGAACCCCCCCAGCGAGGGCAGGTTTCCAAGTGAGCCATCCCGTACTCTTCTGCCCACCTCACAGGTCCAAACAGAGTGAGGGTGCTGACAAGAGGCCTCTTAACCTACCTTCCTCTGAACAGGAGTTGAGCCTGCCCAGGTGACAGGAACTCATCAAAGCAGGTATTTCAAGGAGTTGACATTTGTACACAGCCAAATGCTGACATTTAACCAAGCCACTGCCCTTTATTCTTTGTGGACTGTCCACAGAACTCCCTGTGGCAGAAAGAAAAAACCCAGGACTCTCTTGGACTCTGGGCTGCTGGGTACAGTTGCACAGGTTGTTCACTGCACAAGGTATGTAGGCAAGGGGACAGTGGCTATCCCACAGTGCACTTGCAAACCTTCCGCATGGCTTGGGCTATAGCTACTAGAGGGAGAAAAGCATCTTTTTCTAATTTGTACACAGATACTATATGAGCTAGTGACAGCTTAGATCATTGACTGATTAAAACTCCTGTCTTTGTGTAGTTTCTACCTCTTTTTGCTTATCACGGGCTTCCAAATGCACAGAAAGCATTAAAAGCATGTCATGGGGATTTGGGGCACTCCCTGGAGATTAAGCGTTCTTACCCTGGTGCATTATCCTGACTTCGGACTGCTTTAATCCTCCACTCTCCAAGGTAAATGACTATCTTGCAACAATAAATGTCTATCAGCCGGGCTTCACTTGCAAAATTGGAGGAATTTAATTGGCGAGGCTAAAGTGAACCCTGGGTAACTAGCATGCTTCCTTGACTGACAGCCACGGCTGGATTACCTGCACAGATCCAAGAAACCTATCTGGGCCCACCTTATTTTTCAGTCCTTCCAACTGCTGGTCCTCAAGTGTCATTTCCAGAGGAGAACCCCTCACCTCTGATGTTGAAGTGGGTGCATGAACATACAGAGTACATGAGTACAAGTCAAGGGATTTAGATGCTGCTTATGGTGGAAGCAAGCACGTGGGGAAAAGGAAGTGAAAACTGCAGAGGAGACTGGCTCATAGCCTGGAGCATCTCATTGTAACAGACTCACAGAAGTGCTCAATGAATAATGGGGCATTCTCAAAGTCAGCCCACAGGGACTCCCACTGGCCAAACCTAGGACGATTGGGGCAAGAGAATATATATTGTTGATCACAGGTTACAACCCAGAGCAGAAAGAAAAGAAAAAAAACCCAGGGCTCTCTTGGAATCTGGGCTTGGATATAGTTGTACAGGTTGTTCACTGCACAAGGTATGTTGACAAGGGGGCAAGTTTTAGCACCGATGGGTTCTAAAACTAGTAAGAGAAAGGATGCTGAGTAAAAGGATTTTTGCATAGCCTCAAAGAGGAGAGAGAAAAAGTTGGCTTAAAACTCAATATTCAAATAACTAAGAATGGCATTTGGTCCCATCACTTCATGGCAAATAGATGGGAAGACAATGGAAAGTGACAGACTTTATTTTCTTGGGCTCCAAAACCACTGCAAATGGTGACTGCAGCCATGAAATTAAAAGACGCTTGCTTCTTGGGAGAAAAGCTATGACAAACCTAGACAGCATGTTAAAAAGCTGAGACATCTCTTTACTGACAAAGGTCTGTCTAGTCAAAGCTATGGTTGTTCCAGTAGTTATGTATGGATGTGAGAGTTGGACCATAAAGAAGGCTGAGCGCCAAAGAATTGATGCTTTCAAACTGTGGGGTTGGAGAAGATTCTTCAGAGTCCCTTGGACTGCAATGAGACCAAACCAGTCAACCCTAAAGGAAATCAGTCCTGAATATTCATTGGAAGGACTGATGCTAAAGTTGAAACTCCCATACTTTGGCCACCTGATGCAAAGAACTGACCCCTTAGAAAAGACCCTAATTCTGGGAAAGATTGAAGCAGGTGGAGAAGGGGGTGACAGAGGATGAGATGGTTGGACGGCATCAATGACTCAATGGACATGAGTTTGAGCAAACTCTGGGAGATGGAGAAGGACAGGGAAGCCTGACGTACTGCAGGTTACAAAGAGTGGGACATGACAGAGGAAATGAACTGAACTGAAAGTAGCTCCCGACAGATATTTATCAACCACAAAGGGGGAAACGGTGACTCTATAGAGGAGAGACATCACCCTGCCCAAGTGGTCAGTTACCATCACCAACGATGGGACAAATGGCTCCTGAGATGATACCCTGACAAGGATACAACATCACTTCTGGGGCATTCCTGCCAAAAATTCATGAGGGAATCTAATCACAAAGAAACATCAGATAAACCCAGATTGAGAGCCATTCAACAAAATAACAGGTCTTCCCTCATCAAAAATGCCACACTCTTCAAAGACTAGAAAAGACAGGGATGGTCCAGAATAAAGGAGGCTAAAAATCCAGGACAACTGAATGGTACCTGTGGTCCTGGATTTGACTTTGAATCAATCAGAGTGAGAGACCTCTGTGCCCCTCTCTTAGACTTAAAGGGCACTCGTGGGATCATTGGTGATATTTGAATAAGCTCCCCAAGTAGATGAAAGTATTGTACCAGGGGTGAATTCCTCCTTTTGACATCCTTCTGGTGGTTATGTTCCAAAGTGCCCCTGTTTTTAGGAAATTTATGCTGGAATGTTTGGAGGCAAAACAACATCACATGGGCCAGACGTGACAAAGCAAGTCTGGTAAGATGTTAGCCTTTGGGGATGCTGGGTTGAAGGTTTTCGGAAATTATTTTACTCTTTTTGTAACTTTTCTGCAGGTCCAAAGTTATTTCAAAACAGAAGGTTTGTGTGGGTCCTCCGTTTCTGTGTGTGTCTGCGGGGACACTCACACCGGTTCACACGCTGCTGGAAGGATCTCAGGAGACACCTGATGGAACATGCCCAGCCCAGGTCCACCATGAGGTCCCACAGTTCCCAGAAGAGCTGCTATTACAGCTCAAGTGAAACAAAAAGCAGAAAAAGTCCCCCCTTCATGAGTTTCCCTCCTCGGAAACTCGCCTGTCCTCACCGGTGTTCCCCAGCATAAATGTCTGCATGATGTTGAATACAATTCCTTCCTCCCAACAAACTCCCCGGGTCACTGACAACAGAATTTGACCACGTTGGTCTAATGATTCATAGCCCGAGAATTGGCCATAGGGCCATTTTAGATGCTTGTGTTACCGTAATTCTCTTAATAGCCATCGGCGAAAGGACAAACTCGGAAAAGCCCACACTCGGGGTTGTTAACGTCCTCCACCAGTCACTGAGGCAGGGCTGGACCGGCCGAGGCCCCGGGGCTATCTCCTGCACTGTGTGCCCGCAAGGCTGCTTTCCAGCGATGGATTTAAACGGTCGACCAGGGACACATCCAAAGCCGCTGATGATCTCAGGTAATTGGATTTGGAAGATGACTTGCTGGCCTTGGCATTGAGCTTGGAGTCCTGGAGAGTTCACTCATCTGTATGGAAATGGCCCAGAGGTTTCCCCAGTGACCGGATTCCTGGCATCGTCAGAAGGCTGGGCGATGTCCGTGGCACAAGACCTCCCTCGACACCACCGGCGAGGAGGATGCTGTAATGCTCTGGGGAGGAGAACAGCGCCTACGGCATTTGGCTCCCCTTCCAGCATCTGTTTTCTTTTTGGCTGGTTGGGAAGATAGAATGGAACACATGAAGTATCTTTTGCTGGACAGTGTGTTGCACAAAGAGACGGGGATTTTCACAGATAACAACTATAGTGGACAGGACAACTCCATCCTGGGATAAGAAAATAGAAATATCTCCAACCCCAGCAGACTCTGCACCAGGCACCTTTTTGTTTTTTAACAAATACCATCTCTTTGAATGCTCCCACCAGTCCTGCAGGTAAGAAAGGCAGAGACTCAACTCTGTAAACAACTAACTTGCCAGGACCCTGCAGCCCAAGGGATCCCAGGCAGAATCTACTCTCTGAAGCCAGTCTGCTGCCCTCCTTATTTCTGGGGAAACCCATCCTAGGGAGAGTCCCCCGGCAGCCTCCCTGTCCACCACCTCCGCTTTGAGGGTCCTTATTGTCAAGAATGGGAACTCCAGAATAAGGACCAAAACACGTGTCGACCATTCCTGTGAACTCTGACCCCGGGTGAGTCACCCTGCTCGTGTTTCAGTGACTCAGCCCAGCCTGGAGTGAGGACCACGTCAGAGAAAGCTGTGTTGCCATGGATACCACTCCCCCCTTCTGAACTGACATTCCAAAGCATTTCATGGACACTGAATCAGCACCAGAAAGTTTCCAGGCAGAGGACCCTCAGTTTAAACCAAGACAGAAGCTCCTCAAAGTCGTGAATGGGGCTCCTCTTGCTTCAGGGAGGTCTTTCGGGGGATGAAGACAGTAGCCCGTGTTCCTTCTCCAGTTGTAGGAACATTTCGGGAGCCCCAGGTGTGAGCCGGGATGGGGGCTGGAGCAGTGGACCAGGGGAGCACAGCTTCTGCTCTTTGGAAGCTTAAATCCTCAGGAAACACTTCTGGAACCCCAACCAGGCCGGCCCAGGTGGAAAAGTTGCCCTCAGGAGCTAAGTGAGAAAGGCTTTTAGCTGAAATGGTTGGGACTTACAGACGTGATGCTTCCTGGGCAAAGTGTGTGTTTGTATTTTATCTACTATTCATAGTCCAGTTCTATACTGTGATGTGGAAGTTTAGTCTCATAAATTTCCCCAGAAAACAAAGATCTGATGGACAAGGTTTGGTGTGCGACGGTCTGTGTAAGTCGATCAGGTTGTAATCAGCCACAGAGAGACAGGTCGGTTCCAAGCCTGTCCACCCTCACACACACCCCACATCCACACATATGCCTTCTACCCCCAGACTGTTTGATAATGGATCCCTGCCGTGCTCGTCCACTCTGAATAGTCATTGGAAAGACTGATGCTGAAGCCGAAGCTCCAGTACTTTGGCCACTTGATGCGAAGAGCCAACTTATCAGGAAAGATCCTGATGTTGGGAAAGATTGAGGGCAAATGGAAAAGGAGTGGCAGAGGATAAGTTGATTGGATAGCATTACCAACTCAACGGACATGATTTTGAGCAAACTCTGGGAGATGGTGAAGGACAGAGGAGCCTGGCACACGGCAGTCCATGGGGTCGCAAAGAGTCGGACACAACTTAGCAGATGAACAACAGCAACATTGTTCCAGAGAGACCTGCCCCTCTCTAGCTCTGACTAGTCTGACCCCATGGGGCTCATCCCACTGTCCATCAGTCCCTGGCGTCCACATGGCCCATCTCTCCAAGCTCGACACCTCCCTCTTTTATGCCCCGAAGCAGTGGCAGCCACCGGGGTGCCGCCCCCGGTACTGCACTGCTCTGAACAGGCTCCGCAACTGTCCTCAACATTGCAGGCTGTCCTTCTGTTCAATGCCGCTCAAACGTCCCAATCTGATGACCCTGCTGGTGCCCCACTTCCCCCCAGAAGCCTGATGCTGCCTCCTCCCTTCACCTTGTGAACTGGGGAGCAATTCAAATTTTGCTTCTCTAACTCCAGGAAGATCGTGTTTGCAGTCGAGCTCATAAACCCTGACATCTGTGTGAAGCTGCCATTATTTCGGAAGACTCACACCAGGATCAGGTGACCTGCGTTGAGGGCTGCGGGGCCGGTGGGGAGGGGTCAGGCCTGAATGCTCACTGCCCTGGAAGTCTTAGAGGAGAGGTGGTCCAACTCCATCCCTGGGCGAGCAGTTGCCTGGGGGCTGGAGGGCAGAGAAGCCACGGTTGTGCTACATGACCTTGGGCAGAGCCCTGGACCTGCTGCACATTCACTTCCTTGAAAAACCTGAGAAGGTCTGAAGTCCTCACTAATGAAAAGAATGGTAAAGCCCTTTGCCAAAGAAGTTCGTCCCCCGGGGCTCTGCTCAGAGGTTTATTTTTGTGTTGGGCAAGCATGCTAAGGTGTTTCCTGAAGGTGTTTGTGAGGCTCCTTTAAGCCACTGACCGGTCCTCCTGCAGCCGTGTAGCTCCGGGGGAAAGAATTCCATGTGGACCCTATTTTTGTACTCTTTTCCCTGAAATAGAATAGCGAGATTCTGTCTGGCTTGCATTCCGGGGGCTCTGCCTCCCAGGGAAGGGCTTCCCTTGCCTGCTGTTTCCTCGGACCCGCGCAGGGGGAGGCCAGCTTGGCAGGAAGACAGCAAGCAGCAGAGGTCTCCCGGACTCTCAGCTGTCTGGCCGTGGGTGCCACTGCAGCCCCTTCCTCCCCGAGGACTGGACAGGACGTGGCTCAGAGACTCCTGGAGGTCACCTGGCCCTGGTTCTGCTCAGCAGAGGGACCCCCTGAACCCGCTTCCCCAGAGCATGGGGTTCCTGTTGGGGGATGGTGAGGGGACCCCGGGAGGATGCGGATGGACCATTCCCATCACTCCCTGGAGCAGCAGCTGGTGCTGGGGCGGGAGGGGCAGAGGCCTTGGGAACCACTGGGGCCGCCCTCAGGCCTCAGGTCTGCCCCCTAACCAACTGTGAATTTCGGACACATCCTCCCACATGGGAAGTCACTGGGCTGCCTGATTAAATACAAGACATCCAAGTCAAGTTAAATTGCATCTAAACAGTGATTTTCTTTCTTTCTTTCTTTTTTTTTTGGCATAGCATTGGACATACTTTTATAAAAGTTGGCCCATTGTTGATCTAAAATTCAAATTTCCCTAGGCACCCTGTATTTTTAGGGGCTGCAGCCGGCGACCCTCCCTGGGTATGAAGCTGCTGGCACACCACACACTTAGCAGTGAGTTCCCTACTGGGTTGATTCACTCAACAAACATTCATCGTGGGTCTGCTCTAGGCCGGAGCCTAGGACAGTCCCTGTCCTAGCGCCGAGCAGACAGTCCCTGTGTCCTGTGGCTGCTGTCTGTAAGGAACGCTATGAATTCAGGTGGATTAAATGGTGCACGTGCATTCTCTCGCCATTCAGGGGGTCAGATGTCCAACAAGGGTATCACAGGGCTAAAATCAGGTGTTGGAGCGGCACGTACCTCTGGAGTTGCTAGGGGAGAATCTGTTTCCTGGCTTTTCCCTGATTTTATTTTATAGAAGTATTGATTGATTCGGCTGTCCCGGGTCATGGTAGCGGCATGTTGGATCTTGGTTTCAGTTGGGGAACCTGAACATGTAGTTGTGGCAAGAAGGATCTAGTGCCCTGACCAGGGATCGAACCTGGGCCCCTGCACTGGGAGCCCAGAGCCTTTGCCACTGGACCCCCAGGAGAGTCCCCTCCCTGGCTTCAGAGGCACCAACACTCCTTAGCGGGGGCGGGGGGGGGGGCCCTCTCTCCAACTTCCAAGCCAGGACACGTCGAGGGTCATCAGGGAACCATCACTCTGGCTCTGCAGGTCTCAGCTCTGCTTTCCCAGCCACTCTTAGGGACACTGTGATTACCATGGGCTCAGCAAATAATCTGGGAGAGTCTCCCAATCTCAGGGCCATCTGTGACCCTAATCACCCCCTGCCATGGGTCGGGGAGGAAGGCAACATTTTCACAGGTTCCGGGGGTGAGGACCAAAGCGGGGGGCTCATTCTGCTTACATGGTCTCTGACCCCACAGAGCTCACAATTCAGGGTGGGAAAAAGGCAGACAAGAAGCAAGTAAACAAGGTATAAAAGTGTTTACAAATAGTGTGTATTACTCCTCCTCCTGGGTGTGCCCCTCCTCTCAACCCCGGGGGCATTGGGCACAATTCTGGCTTCTGGGATGCCCCTGGGAGTCCAGTGGTGAAGAATCCACCTTTGATGCAGGGGACATGGGTTTGATCCCTGGTCGGAGAAGGAAGATCCCACACGTCTTGGGGCAACGAAGCCTGCAGGCTGCAACTGCAGAACCCATGAACTCTGGAGACCATGCTCCATTACGGGAGGAGCCTGTATGCCACAGTGAAGACCCAGCGCAGCCAAAAAACCAAATAGCAACTTGGCTTCTATGTAACGGAGTCAAAATCTGGACTCAAGACGCAAAACAAATAAGGACAAGCAACACTCAATGTAACGAACCACTTTGGGGAATTAGCTCTATCTACAGGCCTAGGCCAGTGGTAAAGAACCCACCTGCCAATGCAGGAGATGTTAAGAGACATACATGGGTTCGATCCCTGGGTTAAGAAGATCCCCTGGAGGAGGGCATGGCGACCCACTCCAGTATTCTTGCCTGGAGAATCCCATGGACAGAGGAGCCTGGCGGGCTACAGTCTATGGGGTTGCAAAGAGTCAGACACGACTGAAGTGACTTAGCACACACACATGCACAGGCCTAGCTTGTGACAGAGTCCATGTTTAGGCCTATCCCCAAGTGTGTGTGTGGCCCCCAGGAGACAGGCACCGAATACTCAGGCAGCACTATTTCCAACAGGCAGTGACTGGAAACTATTTCAGTGCCTCTCTACAGCTCCATGAATAAGTAACTATGGAGTAATTGTACATGATTATCCTGCAAACATGGGTCTGAACAAACCTTGCTGCATACGGCCCCAGGGGTGACTCTCACCCATGTCCCGCTGAGCCAGGCTTAGGCACACCTACTCAGAGAGGTGACCCGGATCTGCGCCCATGTGGGTGTCCGACTGCGTCCACCTGCCTGAGCTGGGCCCACTTTTCACTGAGTGGCCCCAGGTTGTCGTGGCAGAAAGAGGGCGTGCAGTTGATCTGGAAGGGAGAGGGGAGCGGCAGCAACACGCCCCCCTCCGACGCCCGAGGTGCCCCCAGTGCACATTGTCCTCCTCTCCTTTCTGCCCTCCTGCCTCGCGGACCAGTAGTGACCCCTGGACCGCCACCGTAGAAGCAGCTCGCATCCATCAGGGGACCAGGTTCCAGTCGGGGAACACATGTGCTGGCCTGCTTTCCAAGGTCAGTCCCTGCAAACCGCACTCAAGGCACTGATGCTTCTGGAAGGTGGGGTGGAACTCATCTCTGACCCTCCCTAGCTCCTCCCACAGCCGTGTCCGGTCCAGTCCCTATGATAAATCCATTGCATCACTCGGGGTGGTTCTGCCTCCCTGGCCGAGGCTGGCCTGATAAGCCTTATCAGGACGGGGGAGTGGGAGGCACTGGGGCGCTGGGGGCCGCAGGGGCTGGTTCCAGGCCAGTGTTTACCTCTCAAAAATCCATCAAGCTCCCTGCCTATGACATGCATATTTCAATACACACTTTTTTTTTTTAAGGGTGTTTTTTAAGTTTTGCGACCAGGGTTATTTTTTAATCCCGATGCTTATCAGGCTCCCATAGCAAGCAGTTTCACTCAGTGGGTCTGCCGGGCTCTGGGCTCAGAGGAATAGGGGCCGCCTTATCTACTCCTGTGAATTCCCAGGGCCTGGGAGGCCTCAGCCCTGGGCGCCAGCTCAGGGACGGTCACTGTGCCGATATGGATGCAGGGTCCCTGGGAACCAGGACCCAGGAGGGGCTAGGAGGAGGAATGCACGGGTCCCTTCTCCCCTGGAGCTGCTTCTGTTGGCCAAGAGAGCCCCTCGGCCCCCTGCACGTTTTAATAGCCTCTTATCTTGGGGCACTGCCCGGGGGAACTGACCGCTCTCGTAAACCTCCTGGGGCGGGGGGAGCTGTTTTATGTGCTTTTCCCACCAGCTCTCAAGGGGACCCTGAGAAAGACACTGTCCTGCACCGGAGGGCCAGGCGGGGAACGTTCCGACAGACTGCCTGGGTCAGCCAGGGACAGGGCCACGCCCTGGGGGTGGCAGCGTCGTCCCCAAGAAGTGGCTTTATCCACTCAACAGCCACTGAGAGGACCTCACTGCATCTCAGACGCTGCCTACCCCACAGCTACATCCCCGCCCTCCCCAGAGGCCAGCAGGTGGGGGGTGCGCCCCTGGGGTCTCCAGGCCAGGAGGCCTCCACCCTCCACTCACCATCTTCCCCAACACACAGCTTCATCCACTCAGGACACTCAGAACACAAACGCCCCCCTGGGACCTGGCCAATTCTTTAAAAACTCGTCCTGAACTGAAATGGGCCAGCCACCTCGTCTCTGCAGGGCTTTTCCCAGGGAGGAAGTTCTCTGAAAATGTCCTCTTAGGACGGGAGGTGCGGCCCCTTCCTGCCTTCCTCTGCATCACTCCCCCTCCGCTCCTGGGCCCCTCCTCTTTCACTCCAGACCCCCCGCCGCACAGGATAACCCCAGATGGGAGTCAGGCCGGCCGTTCTGGGTTCCTCCACACAAGTGCTACCAGTCTCAAACGGAGGTCCAGTGTGGGGAGCGGGACCAAATGCAGACTTCAGAGTGGAGCTGGAGCAAATGTCGGCCCTCTGGCCAGCGGTGCTAAGCGCTCCGGAGGGCGTGTGGGCCCGGGGCGCGGTGGACACCCACATCTGGACCCTTGCTTCTGCTGCACCCGGAGCGCCAAGCAGCTGCCAGGCTGGCTGTTGCCTTGCTGCCGCTTTCAGGAGGATGCTGTCCCTCAGGGCGCTCTGCACTCCCCCCGCAATGTTGAAGAATTCTGGAGGCCCTGACGGCTTGGTGGAGGGAGCTGGTGGGAAGAAGGGGTTGTGGTTTAGTCGCTCAGTTGTGTCGACCCTTTGCGACCCCATGGACTGTAGCCCGCCAGGCTTCTCTGTCCATGAGATTTTCCAGGCAAGAATACTGGAGTGGGTTGCCATTTCCTCCTCCAGGGGATCTTCCCAACCCAGGGATCGAACCCGTGTCTCCTGCATTGGCAGGCAGATTCTTTATCATTGAGCCACCTGGGAAGCCTGGAAAGGTGGGGGAGAGAGGTGATAAACCACGAGCACCTGGCATCCTCACACTCCTCGTAGGGACACACTGATCCCATGGGGACTCATGGGGAAGATAAAACACTACCTCTGACCATGTCTGCCCCTGGCATCTGACGTTCATTTATCCATTGATTCTCTCACACGTGTCTGCTGTTCTGAGTGGTCAGTGGCTGGGCTCTGGGGACACCCAGCTTCCCAGCTCTTGGCTGAATGGCTGGGACAGGGTCTCCTTCCTCCTGGTGCCTCTGTGTTTCTCATCTCTGAGATACGTTTGTTGCAGACAAAGAGCCCTCTCTCCCTGATATCTAGCTGCAGCCACTAGAATTCCACCATCAAAGCCACCCTCTGGACTTAGGAAAAATACATGTGAAAACACAAATGAGACCAAACCAGACAACACCTTGGCTATAAATTGTGGGATGGACTGAAACGCAAGGGATGCGAAGTTCCTGCGACAGGGTGGTGGTTTCCCCTCGCTCCCCAAGACACTCGCCGAACAATTGGCTCCTATCTGTGTCCCCGGCCTCTCCACCCAGGATGACCACGTGCGCATCATCCTCACCACCAGGGGGCGCAGAGGAGTCCAGTCTCCGCACCTGGAGACCCAGGTTCAGGCTTACACTGCCTGGTCTAACTCGGGTTTCATTTCAAATACCTGGAAAATTTATGTTAAAAAAATTTTAAAAAAAATCTGCAGATTCTTTAATCCCAGCCTGGGAGATCGTGGTATGCAGTGAGCACTGGGAATGTAGGCTTTTTTTCTTTAAATCAAGAGCCTTGGTTGATTGTAA